TGTAAAATTGGGTGGACTTTATGGTAAATAAAATACACATCCAAAATCTTTTCAAAATGTTTTCTGAGGATAGCTCAAGTAAGCTGTTCTAAGGGGGTGGGGGGGGGGGGAACTTAGTGAGAGCAATGTGTGTTGTAAATTTGTGTTTGTCCTCACTGTTCGCCCAGGACCTGGAGCAATAGCACAGCGGGTAGGGCGTTTGCTTTGCACGTGGATGACCCAGGTTCGATTCTTCCACCCCTCTTGGAGAGCCAGGCAAGCTACCAAGAGTATCCTGCCCGCGTGGCAGAGCCTGGCAAGCTCCCTGTGGCATATTCGATATGCCAAAAATAGTAACAAGTCTCAAAATGGAGATGTTACTGGTGCCTGCTCGAGCAAAGCGAAGAATAACAGTTGGACAGTGCTACAGTGCTCGCCCAGGACCAATAACAAACTGAGTAGAGAACTGAAACTAACTGAGCTCAGCATGCATCTGATTCAGATTTGACCACTTCCTAGTCCAGGAAGCTTGAACAAGCCAAGTGTCCTGAATTGTTTTCCTTTTTGTCCTCTGTAAAGGAGAAGGAAATTCCTTATATGGCAGATTTGTTTGAAATTCAAATGATACCTTGACCATGAGACTCTTAGAAAGGTTTCTGGAACCTTCCAGGCACTCAATAAATGCCAATTGACCTTTCTGATATTTGATTCTTTGTTGAGAAGTTGCCCCTGCCGCTCTCACTTCACACAGAAGGAAAGACAGAGGCCTGGGAATTGCTAATCGTTTTTAATTTGTGTTATTAGCACAATTTGGGGAGGGGGGGAATTAAGCTCCTAAATGGAACTTTAGGCAGACTATATTAAATTAGACTTTAGGATAGGCAGAAGTTATAAATAACAAAATTACACTGTTACCAGGCATGACAGATACCACCGATTTTCAACTTGATAACCATCAAATAACTGGGGGGAAAATAAAAGAAATGACAGAACATATTAGATCGTTTTGTTATCTGGGAGATAAAATTGAGTGGGTGTATTTTAAATGAATCTGACTGAAACTCGAGCTTTATGAAATGAGATTTAAATGACTACGGACCTGAAAATGCCTATTTCTACTGTCCATTTGATTATGGTGGTGAACATTATTCACCATGTTCCTATAAAAAGTTACATTATTTATTTATGCTTCATCTTGTTCCAGAAAAGATCTATCATTGCTCACATAGTTATGCATTAATAGAATAACTGAAACTATGCACCCACAAACCAGGACTGAGCCCAAAGCCTCATTTTTTTTTTTGTTTTGTTTATTTTGTTTTTGTTTTTTGAACTACTCCTAGTAATTCTCAGGGCTTACCCCTGACTTGTGCTCAGGGATCACTCCTGGTGAGTTCAAGAGACCATATAGGGTACCAGGGATTGAACCCAGATCATCTGCGTGCAAGGCAAAAACCTTACCCACTGTACTATCTCTCCAGCCCCCAAAATGTTATTTCTAAGCATGCATGAAGTCAATTCAGTAATGCAACAAATAGTTCACAGAATCCATAAGGTTACCATTTTTAAAAATAATGTTTTAAAAGCAGTTGCTTTTAAAAACAAAGTACAAAAACAAGTACAAAAACAAAAATCCTGACATTAAAATTGGAAATAGTTTTCATAAGTCACCCTAGAAAAAATACTGTACAATTAGATAAAGAGTAACTATGTGTTGTTGTTTTTTGGTGTTTGGGGGCCACACCTAGTGATGCTCAGAGCTTACTCCTGACTCTGCTCTCAGGGATCACTCTGTAAAATTTTCGTACTCAAACTACGGTGTTTTCTTCAGCCTTAGGACAGGGCACTGCATGTGTAAATGGTACTTCATGAGTTGTGTGTGTGATGTGTGTGTGTGTATGTCTGTGTGTGTAGCTGGAAAACATTAATTTCAAGAGATAAGAAATGAGATTTTGAATCTTATTTCAAAAATAAAAAGTTGGTGACAGGTGTCAGTATATAATCAAAAAGTCATTTTATTGCATGATCAGAGAAATCATTCAAATTAAAGGCAAAAATGTACTGTTATTCCTCTGAGAATTCTTTCTGTTTTGAGTATTTTTTATGTGTCAAGGGGGTTTATAGTAGTAACAGAAAGAAAATAGTATGAGAGGGAGTGGAGGAATTAGGTATTAATACTTTTTGTTTTAGTTTTAATTTAAAAATCAAGATTCTGTCATTAAAATAGAAGATATGAGTCAGCAGGTGGGGAGCTTGCCTTCAAGCAGCTAACCTGGGTTCAGTCCCAGGCCATCCACAAACCCATCAGGACTGATCCCTAAACACAGAGCGAGGAGCTCCGAGTATAGCCAAGTGTGGACCCCCACAAAATAAAGGAGGTTTAAATTTTATATGATCATATTTATCTTTTATAACATAACTCAAGGCCCCTTGTATAAAAATAAATTATATTAATTTCACTTGCTAAATATATAGTTATTCTCAAGTTCAGTAATAAACGTTAGAATTGTTACTTAGTAATCATTTTATGCTCTCAATTTCTATATAACAGTATTATTTTTATTTAGTATTATTCATCAGAGTTACTAATGAAGACATGCTCAGATTATTCCTCGTGATTATTTTGCAGTTGTTTCAGCAAATGTGTGAGAACTCAAGCCTGGCTCTGGACAAAATTTTGGTTATAGCTAAAGAAGTTTCACTGACTACTGAAGAGTTAATGACTTGACAGAATCATTTTTTGGTTTCTGTATTTTCAGCTAAGATGGTAGCACTATGGTTATGACTTCTTTCCTTTTTCACCTTTATCCTTCAAAATTAGAGTTGCCATAAAATCATTCAAGAGATTCATTGCAAACTAATAAACGTTGGGGAAAGCATGAGGTTTACATGAAAGTAAATCAACCACTTGTTGATCCATGTAACCCTGGGTAACAGGTCCCTTGGGCTGATTTTCTCTACTTTTGTGAGTTTCAAGTTTTTCCTGATAGACTGCAGAAGAAGCAACAGTAGCAGCAGTCCTGAAATGTTCCCTGATGTTCTTCCAATCCTTTTTATGTCCGGAATGGAGATCTCCCAGCGAACATTCCCAGTAATCTTTGGCCCAACCGCACCTGCAAATCAGTCTTGGTCAGTGCACTGCTCCTTGGGCCCAGTAGTGCGAGGAACCATCAGGGCAACAGGCAGTGCTCAGGGGCTCTCTCATCCACACCCAGAGATGCTGAGGGGATGGTGTTGTGATGGACCTTGCACCCTAACCCCGGTAGAATCCCTATTCTGAACATGAAGGGAGCTGGACTGATAGCACAGCGGGTAGGGCATTTGTCTTGCATGTGGCCAACCCGAGTTCGATTCCCAGCATCCCATATGGTCCCCCGAGCATCACCAGGAGTAATTCCTTAGTGTATGAGCCAGGAGTAACCCCTGAGCATTGCCAGGGGTCACCCAAAAAGCTAAAAAAAAAGTGAACATGAAGATTCCAGGAGACCTCACTATGTCCTCATGCAACATCTTTGCTTACCAACAGAAAGCTGAAGCCCATAGGGATGCTTGGTACCCTTTGATTTCTTTGCAGTTATTGTAAAATTGCAACATCCACATTCATTTGCTGCTGTTACCAACATGTCCCCCAGAGAGCATATACTTCACCAGCACTTCTGTAATTCTGTTTTATTGTTTGCTTTTTTGGGTGACACCCGGTGATGCTCAGGGGTTCCTCCTGGCTCTGCACTCAGGAGTTATTCCTGGCAGTGCTCAGGGAACTATATGGGATGCCGGGGATTGAACCCACGTTGGCCACATGCAAGGCAAATGATCTATCCTCTGTACTATCACTCCAGTCCCAATTTTATTTTTTAAAAACATGATTTTACTATTTGTTAAAGACACTGATGAAGACTTTGTTTGAGGGACCAGGTGAAGAGAGAGGTAGAACTAAGGCTGGAGAGGACCGGAACAGAGTTATTACTCTCTCCTAAGACTTGATAACATATGAGAGGGTTTCTCTTTGATGGGTGTATGTCCAGTGGAGGGGGTGTCCTTCATATGGCTCTTGGAATCTTTTGTTAGGGGGTCATGGGTGTTGTTTTTTTGTTTGTTTTGGGGGGGGGTTGTTTGTTTTTGTTTTGTTTTGTTTTTGCTTTTTGGGTCATGCCCAGCAATGCACAGGGGTTATTCCTGGCTCTGCACTCAAGAATTACTCCTGGCGGTAGCTCAGGAGATAATATCAGATGCTGGAAATCGAACCCAGGTCAGCTGCATGCAAGGCAAACGCCCTACCCACTGTGCTATAGCTCCAGCCCTAGGGGGTCATGGCTTTGATTACACCTGGTGATGCTAAATTGTTCCTCCCAACACAGTGATACAGATGAATCTCAGACACGGTTGGGGAGCCATACAGTGCTGAGGAGAGAATCCAGCCTTGCTAGAAAAGCATGTTCTCCAGCTATCTCCCTGGTCAGGAATTTTTTTTTAAAGAAAACCCTACAAAATCTCCACTCATAGGAGCAGCATCAGAGGATTCTAGAAGGAAATCAGGACCCATGAAAACAAGATTAAAACCTCAGAAGTTAAGAGACCTGAATACGATTCAAGGAGCAGAGCTCACGCCTAGCACTAAATGCCGCCCACCCTTTGCTGCTCCCATCACCCCCCCCCCACCCCGCGTCATCACTGAGAGCAGTCCTGGGGAGCCCAGGCATCACAGAGTATAACTCCAAGGGGCCGGGGGAAATGTCTTTTAGGGGCCAAGAGATAGAAAAGCACTTAAAGCACGTGCGTTGTATGTAGCTGATCCAGGTTCAATCCCCAGCATCCCATATGGTCCCCCGAGCACTGCCAAAAGTAATTCCTGAGAGCAGAGCCAGGACTAAGTCCTGAGCACCACCAGGTGTGGCCTCAAAATAAAAACAAAAAACAAACAAAACTCTTGTGCTACCTGGATATTTACAGAAGGAATCATTCTACTGTTTGAAAGGTTATAGAGCATGTGCTTTCTTATTTGCAACTGTTTTTGATTTTAGGAATTCTTTGATCATGTGAAGAAACTTTGGGATGATGAAGGCGTGAAGGCATGCTTTGAGAGATCAAACGAATACCAGCTGATTGACTGCGCACAATAGTAAGTCCTCCAACCTTGCCAGACCTCTTGAAAGACAGAGTTGCAGCCAAAGTTGTGCCAGGAACAAATCATTTCTCACTACAGACATCAGCTTTAAAATAACATGCTTTGTAGGTGGAAAATTGGAAATTTAATACGATACATATTTTCAATAAACAGCCAGAACAGGACTATTCATTTTATTCTGGCCACTGTTTTCAGTTTTATTTTTTCTTTCTATAGAGTTAAGCGCATTTTTATGTTTTTAATCCACTTAGATATTTGCTATTATATTTCAATTTTGGAGCAAGGAACCCCAAATTAGGTATCAGCATTTGAAATCAAGTCCAAGCTATCAGAGAAACTCATTTATAGCCATTAGAAGTAAAGTAGGAGACAGGAAAGTAGGTGATAATTGGTCTGAGTAAATATTTAATGAAAGAATATGTTGAAAAAGTAAATGGCTCATTGTTTTTTCCCTGAAACACTCATTTTCAGCTCCTTTTCATTAGCTTCATTCTCTTACCATTTGAGAGCCCCAGGAAAATGGTAATCAAGAAGTTCTAGGTATATTCACTATTTGGGTAACAAAAACTGTGTTTTGCCTCTGTGGGCAGTAAGAAATGAGTGCTTTCACATTAAAGTCTGCAAACTCTAAAAATTGATTCCAGTAGAATTGCCATAACCATCAAATCTGGGAATTCACAATGTTTGAAAGGAATTAATGGAGCTCCCCTGTGAGTAGTGATTTTGAGAAATTGAAGGTGGTGCAGTCACTCCCCCCCTTTCGTTGCTTGTGGTGGCTAGACTGTTGGTTGATGGCAAGAGCTAGAGGGCAAGGGGGGGGGGGGGGGCAGTGGGGGATGCTTCAAGCCCTGACAGGAAGCACTTTGTTGTGGATAGGTAATGCGAGAGTAACATTAGCAGTCTGGTCTCATGGGCTGTGGGAGCCAGCCCTTTCACATGCCAAAGGCCATGCCATGGAACTTGGGTTTTCTCCCAGAAGCAGCGAATGGCCCATAACTTGAAAAATAAGATGACCAGGATCGCTCCAGCTGGTGTGTAGGGAATCGAATGGAGGAAGGGAGACCCCACTGTGGTCCTTCCGGTCAGGTGGTACCAGAAAAATGAGCAGTGGGAGCCAAGTGAACAGAACGAGGCTGTCTGAGGACAACAGAATGTTAGCCATGATGCCACTGATTCAGATAACGGCCCAGAGTGTGGATTCTGGGGTGAAGAGAAAGATACCCAGCAAGGATTTGGAGAAGTTAAAAAAGTTTGGGATGCCCTTAATCCAAGGGATTAATTAGAGATAGTAGAAACCCCAAGCTCAGAAACTCATAATGTAAGTATGGCTGAGGGTCCGCAAAGACAGGGAGGGGGAGGTTAGGGGGGAGAGGGGCTGCACCTGGCAAAGTCCACACTTCAGACGTTGGTTTCTGGAGGGAGACCCTCAACTCACTTCTGAGAAGTGGGTAGAAAGCGGTAGAGTTTCAGGGGAGGACAGCAGACAAAAGTGGGGACAGTTCTTTGTGGTGCATAAAGGTCACTAAAGTTTATCTTAACCTCCTGATCCCCACCAAGGACTGGCCACTCAGCCCACAGAAAGTGAACAGAGCAATCCTAGGTCTGAAGGGCATTAGTGGCACAAAGATACCTGCGTGGAGATGACCAGTGCGTGAACTCACGATACTCCACTGTATATGATAAAGAAACTTAAGTGAAGGGGAGAAATAGCTTTATCTGACTAAGAATTCTGCTCAGGTCTTTCCTTAACGGTTCCCCTTCGCTGCCCTTGAGGACCTGCCTTCAGATCACAGTCCCTGCTTGACATGGCTATGCCCTGGGGCGTATTCCCTCCTGTGGATACGTGTTTGTGCTGCTCTCAAGTTGCTAGTATGCCTATTGGTTTTCATTCCACAACAGGCTCATTGGGTGCAAGAGAGCCCGGCGGGGTTAGGCTTGGCCCTGAGAATGGGCAAAGGATGCTGTGAGGGCCCCTCCAAGAACCTTTGTCTTCCCTCTCTCAAATTTGTCGTTTCATTACCAATCAAAGGCTGCTACAGTCAGGGAGAAAGTATAGGGAATGTGCTTAATTCGGATTTGATCCCTGACACCACGGGTCCCCTAAGCATTATTGGGTGTGTCCCTAGAGGATCTGATCACTCAGAGCCCTCAGAACACCACTCCTCACACCCCAGCACTGAGACGCTGACTGGTTGGCCAGGAGTCATTGGGAATGGAGGATTCAGACATGACGCTTCAGTCGTATTTGTTAGGCTTGACTGTGGCTGCCAGGGTCACTGTTCTGTCCTAAAAGCAGTGACATCTCTGTGCCAGCCAAAGGGGACAGGATCTCAGAGTACAGCCCCAGGACCATGGTATTCCCGTCATCTCGTCCATTCACCTAAATTTGTAACTCCTCTGACTGTGTGTTTTATTATTCTCCTTTAAGGGCCCAACTCTTAGTTGAGTGCCCATACATTAAAAACAAACAAAAAAAGTTCTGTTTGAAATCAAGAAATTGGCAAAATATAAGCTTCATTTTTATCTTGTTCTGATGGGTGATGACAGACCACTGTCCCTGGAACAAACACAGCACCCCAATCCCGATTCTCACTGGAGCTTCCTCTAGGCCACACACAGAAGTGCTGGCAGCCTCGGGCTAGATCCAGGTACTGCACATGTGATGCCTGCACCCTGACCCTGAGTTCTTTCCCGGGCCCTAAACTGGACAATTTTATGATCAATGATAACCCAATCTCTAGCCTCTCTTTCCGAATAGAGGTTGGGCCCCAGATCTCAAAGTGCTGATCCTGGTTTGGTCTTTCTGATGACCAGTGCTGACTGCCTAAGAACCCTGCAACCTCTCCCCACACACCCCCACCCCCACACATACACTAGATAACCCTTCATCAGAAGAGAAGATTTCTCCTTGTCACCCAGGAAGTGACAAGTTTGATCCAGGAGCCAAGGACAGACACAAATATACATTTGTTTGAGTTTTTCTCCTATTGTTTCATAATAGGAAAGCAGATTTGGAGGGAAGCCAGAGCAATAGTACAGCAGGTAGGGTATTTGCCTTACATGTAACTGACCAGGGTTTGGTCTCTGGCATCCCATAAGGTTCCCTGAACACTGTCAGGAGTAATTCCTGAGTATAGAGCCAGGAGTAACTTCTGAGCATCGCTGGATGTCACTCAAAAACAAAAACAAAAAGACAATTTTTTGTAATCTCTCCAAAAAACTGCCTCTTTGTGGAATCCAGGTAAGTTCACATTTGTCATTCATAGAGTTTGCAGACTTCCTGTAAGAGAGGACATGGTGACAGGGAGACTCCAGTCCTTGCCCCTCCAGCTCCATCAGCTTCTAACTGTTTTGCCCACTCACTGTAGGTTGTTAAATGCAGCTGTTGGCTTGGAAATTAGGTGATTGAACTATAGATCATTTGTTGAAGTCGTCGATCCCTTCAAACTGTCTTTCTATTTATTCCTTTGTCCAGCAGAATTGTCTGGGTCCCAGGAATGCAGAGATGTCACACCTGCTCTGGTCAGCCTGGCAAGAGTCAGTCCAGAGTGCTTGGCTTAACCTCTTCCCTGCCCCTTTGTTGGCACCAGGAAACACTGGGCTACAGAGTCACATTGGGAAATAAAATTGGTAGCTGCAGGACCAAATGTGACTTAAACACCAAGTCAGAGTGGTAGCCAACTATCAGAATAAATATATCAAAGCAGAGTGGCATTTCCTTAGAGTGAAAGGGAGTCGAAATGTTTGCATCGACGGTGTTTCCTTCTTTATTGATTCAATATTAAGGCACCATGGTTTGCATAGTTAGTCTTAGTTAAATTTCCGGACTGCAGTGGTCCAATACCAATTCCCCACCAATGTCAATTTTCCTCCACCTGTGTCCCCAGGTTCCCTCCATGGCCGGCACATTTTCAAGTTTGGTTACTACAGTTTAGAGCTCATGGTTGCAGTATTGCTGGCTCTGTAGTTTTGATGTTTCTCTATACTTATAACACATATGTACTTGTACATACCTGTACCTCACCGATGAGCTAGAGGCATCTGACTCACCCCCACCCTGTTACCTGTCTCTTCTTACTTCCCCTCCTCAGTTTCTTTCCTTCTCTGGCCTTTTGGTTTCTATAACCTGGGGGCAAAAGTAATGTGCGTATCCCCCTTTGCAACCATGCATTCCCTCTTCCTGAGATTCTTCTGTATACTACAGATAAGCGAAGTCATCAGTTGTCTGTCCTTCTGGCTGACTTCACGCAACATGATAAGGTCCAGTTCCATCCAAGTTGCAGCACGATTTCATCCTTCCTTGCAGCTGCAGAGTATTCCATTGTGTGTATATACCCCATACTTTCCTTACTCATTGGGCACCTACATTGATTCCATGTCTTAGTTATTATGCTGAGTGCCACAATGTATAGTGGTGGGTATTTACTTCATAAAAGCTATGTGGCCATTTAAATAAAAAGAAAACTGGAATTTGCAACTCCTAGGTAGAGTTTAACACCCAGCTTCTCCTGCATGGAGGGTGGATGGAAATATAGCTCAGCTCTGAACATCACAGGAGTTAGGGGAATCAGCCTTTCCCCCAGCACCCCATATGATCCAAAACTCAAGTGTAACTTTTGGCTCTTCTCCCCATATGGAAATTCTAATAATGACCTGTTGATAACACACAGTCTTGAAGATATTATATATAGTCTGTTAACATTTTATATGCTTTATGTATGATGTATCTGGACAAGTAAGCTAGAGAAAAGAAATTATTAGGAAAATCATAAAGGGGCCAGAGATATAGTACAATGGATAAGGCTTTTGTCCTCAATCCTAGCACCATATATGGTCAACTGAGTACTGCCAGGAGTGATCCCTGAACACCACCAGGTGTGGGTCAGAAACCAAAATAAAAACTTTGATACAGTATAAATGATGAGTAGAGAAGCAAATGTGGTCTGCACATCAGGGAATACAATTCATCCCCGAAAAAAGGAAAAAGGAACAAA